TGGCCACCGCCGTGGGCCCATCTTTACCTGACCATCTAATAGTAAGTACTGCAGCACACGCAAACGGGCTGTGACTTTCATAGGTCCCCAGTGAAAGCAAGCAGAAATTCCTCTCTCTCCAGACATTTGAACAGAGATTAAGGCCTTGCAAGGGTGGACTGGATGAGACTGTTGTCCCAGACCTCACTGTCTCGTGTGTCTGCCTGCACACGAGGATCTTCAGAAAGCCGCCTTTGGGTGCTCTGCCATCTCAACCACAGCAGGAGAAAGTGCCTACTCTGCAGGGGCAGCTCCACTGCTGAACGCTCTGCTTAGGCAGGGCTCAGATGGTTATCATTCACCCTGATGTCATTTCAGTGCCCGGAAAGAACTCTTTATGCTCTCCAGCCTTTTAAAAATCTGCAAGCTGTTTTTCTGCTGCTTTCTGCTCCATTTTAAATGTGCAGACTACTTTAATACTGCTGCTCTATGTTGTGACGCTTTAATGTTTTAAATTCGTTTTATTGTGCTTTTAATTTGCTGTAAACCACCCTGGGAACTTGTAAGAGCGGGGAATAAATCAAATAAGTATAATTCTCCTGCAGACAAACAAACAAACTCAGCAGCATTCTTACCCCATTCCATTCACTGATAGTCTTCAGTATAATGCAGTAATCTTTTCCTTTTTTCAAGGGAGCATTGTAAAATTTTCCATAGTATAGTCTGTCTCCAAGGGCAAAGTCCACCATATTGTCAGCAATAACGTGAGCTGGGAATTCAGCTGCCACATAGCCACCTGAGTCAGTGCCTTTGCTGAAGAAGGAGAGGCTAGTCAAGGAATAACAATTAAAGTCGCACTGTGAACTCCAGGGAATGGCAATCACTTGGTAGGAGCTAGAAAGAGACAGAAAAGCATCAAGTAGTTTTAGAGGTTATTTACATTCACAATTGCCTTTTGACGTATCCACTGATTCCCTTCAAAGGGCTGTTCAAAGGCCTTAATCGCTTGCTCTCCCTAAATGATATATTCTCCTGTATGAAATAACCTGCAGTCCTAAAAGATTCAGAAACATATTGGTAAAACTGGAGTTGAACTCTTCAGACCAGTGGATTTACAGAAGAGTAACTGCAGCAAGTATGCTGGTGTGAACCAAAGGTTTATCAAGTCATGCTGGTGTGAACCAAAGGTTTATCAAGATTCGCAGTGACTGATCAGGTGCTGCAAAAGCAGGACATGAGTGCAATGGTGCCCTCCCACTCACATATCCTAGCAACCAATAGTGAGTGCGCATCACCTTCTAATACCAGAGGTAGTATAGAGTCATCAGGAGTGGTAGCCATGGATATCTTTCTTGTTCCATCTATTTCCTCAGTCCCATTGAACCCATCCAGGTGGGGGACTATGACTCATTTTACTGCTAATTAATGATGGGCATGGAGGAGGCTTCTATGTCATAAGGAGTTGTGGAGAGTGTGATGCATATTTATTTATGCCACACAGAGAATTGCATTATATGTACCTTCCAAGTCTTCGAAGGTAGAGACTATTTCTTCATGGAGTACACGGATCCGCATTACACTCTCCAAAGGTTCCTGCAATATATAGAACCTTAGGGGTCCCTCTCAGCTGGGCAACTAGTGTCTGGGTCATGTGACCCTGCTTGCAGTGCCTCACCCATAGGGGCAACTGGCAACTTCTTAACCCCGTCACCCAAAGCATTTGTGGATGAGGTGACACAATCAGCCAGGACCTGCATTAATAACTCAGCACAGATCAAAGGTCCCTTGGTATCCTTTACCCATCCTAATCAATTCACAGAATTAATTCTTGAACAGAGATTCAAATATGTGAGTAACTATAGGCATAAAACTAAGGAGTGCTACATTTGAGGTAATGCTTAGGAATGGAAAGTTATGATCTTGCATTTGTGATTTGAGGATCACTAGATCTTTGGGTGGAGAAGCAGCAATTTATACAAGATAAACTCACATGAGGAAGGAGAAATTAAATCCCCTGAATTAACAGTAACATTTGGAAGTATTTGGGACAAAATCACCTGGTAAGATAGCATTTGAGAACAATGGATTCAAGCATAAACAAATCAAGTGGTTACTGAAACACAGTATTATTAATATTTATATCCTGCCTTTTTCCTTCCAAGGAACTCAAGGCAGCTTACATCATTCTCCTCCTGCTGCTCTCAATCTTATCCTCCCAACAACAACGCTGTGAGGTAGGTTTGGCTGAGAGGCTGTGAATGGCCCAAAGCCACCCAGTTTTCTCCATGGCTGAGCAGGGACTAGAATAGCATAAAACCCAGAGACCTTATTGGCCCATTTCTTTCTTCTGCCTTCTTCAGGCTGAACAAAGGCACAGAGCCATGTACAGTTATAAATTCTACTTCTGGAGATTGCGGTTCTGAAAAAGAAAACTGTGTATTAGTCCCATTAGTGCAGGATAGATTTATTTAGACATTAAAATATATCATACCTGTTGTTCATTATTAAGGAACCAGAGCAACTTACAAACATTAATCCATAATGAAATCCACAGCAACCCTACATCAAAAATAGCAGGATAAAAACAACCAAATAAAAACATGGTCCTATTTCAACAAGAAAAGCAGTATGCAAGCTGTTACCAGAGAAAGACAACATCCAGCATAGACCCAACAAAGCACCATAAGCATAACAAATAAAACTATCATCTGCCTCATGCAAAAGTCTTCTCTTACCTAGTTGTAAGAAGTTACTCAAAGAGTAAGGTATGACGTTCGATAGTCCTTTATAGATGTAACACAATCATTTCAGCATGCAAAGTTCTGTCTCCGTGTGCATGCATGCTGTTTTCCATATTTGTCTGTTTATATCATAATTTCAGGCTGGCCTCCACAAAGCTCCATCTCAAGGCAAGAGCTGTATCCCCTTGGTTCAAAGAGAACTGAAAATCTAATGCTTACTTACACAGTAAATATTGGCTTTTGGAGCTGAAAATCAATGTTTTCAAAAAATATTTGGACTCAGTGGTGTGGATAAACACAGGCCGGCAACCTTCCTAGGGCTTGGTAGCCAGCCAAGTTTTAGGGGCAGCCTAGACTGTGTATGCGTCATGCTTCATTTTGGAGGTATTCCGAGAGCTTGTTCCTGTTATGCAAAGCCTCAGAGATGCTTGAGATGCAGAGAGGTCACTCGCTGCCTTCCAGTGTTCAGCATTAAGCAATGGAGATGTATTTTCTGCCCTTTTCCAAAACCTGCAAAAGGGTGAAGAATCCCCTAGTTCGGCGGTGGCAAACCTGTGACATGCGTGCCGCAGCGGGCACACAGAGTCCTCTCTGTCGGCACATGAGCCAAGTTGCCCCAGCATTGCCCCAGCAGCCGAGCATCGGATAACAGCTCACACAGGGGCCATGCGCACGCTTGGAAAGGAGTAGCGGTGTCTGGCAATGACGTCACGAGTCGCAACTCATTAGCCGCGACTCACCCGAGCTTTCGCATGGCTGGTCAGTGCGCTGGCAAGGATATATATGTATATTTGCTTGGACCGGCTGTGAGTTTTAATACATTTGTTTTTATTAACACCAGATTTTAGTTTTGGGTTTTCTTATGAAAGATTGAAATTTAATACCTTAAGATTTAGCAAAGAGGTGTTCTAGTTAAGAGACTGAGATTCTTTTAATGTTGTGCTGTCCCCCTGGCATATCTGAATCTGCAGCATCATATTCAAGTCTGATTGCAGTGTTGGCACTTTGCAATAAATAAGTGGGTTTGAGGTTGCAGTTTGGGCACTAGGTCTCTAAAAGGTTCGCCATCACTGCCCTAGATCATTCACTAACTTTGGAAACACCAGGGGCACAATCCTATGCATATCTGGACAGAAGCGTAATACAACTCCCAGCATTCCCCAGGGCTTTCTTCTACCTATGGATGCACAGGAGTGCACCCTGAGATATCTTGCAGCTTTTGAGGCGCCTTTAATTTTGTGTAGGACCAGTGCAGGAGAAAATGACTGAATAAAAGCTGCACACATCTGGACAGCACACTTGTGGCCTCTGAGTAATAAATATCAGTTAACTTCAATACATATCAAATTAACATCAATATGCTGACTTCTTTCCTTTTTCAAGGAAGCAACTTACATGATCCAAAGAAGCTTACATGATTTTCCTCCTCTGTACCTTATCCTCACAATAACAACCCTGTGCAGTAGGCTAGGCTAAGAGTCACTAAGAGCGGCATGGCTGAATGGGAACCAGAACTGGCATCTCCTGAATACCAGCCCAGCACTCTAACCAATACACCATGCAGGCTCTCAATATGCAGAAGACAACAGCATGGTGGCTGAAAATTAAGGCAATACCTGTTTATTGAGGCTGTATCTAAATGGTTTTTAAATCAGCTGTGAAAAGGTCTTAGTTTGCAAAATCTTTTAGCAGCCTGCTATCCATGTTTGCCTCTTGTCTCTTCTAAAACAGAAGAGCTTCCCAGGTGGCAACATTTACATGATACAGTCAACAAGAAAGGAAGGTATTACCAAGTATATACAATAACTGTAGCATGTTAATTGCCCAATGTGCATCAGAGGTTAGTTATGGAAGGGACTGGGAAGGTCAGAAACTATATACAGAATCATTAAATGAGCCACATTTAACTCCAGCAATCATGATCTCAGGCTAGAGGAGCAGACTGCATGCAAGTAACTGCTCAGAGTAAATGACATGCAAACGCAGGTAATGGAACCCCAAGAGCCTATTTTAGTAAACAAGAACAGCTTTGAAAGGTGGCATCTTTGCACAGAGAATTGGCTCTGTGTATGCAAGTGAGGAAGAGCAAGCAACCAGGCATGTGCATTCACACAATGCTTCTTCACCTTGACTTTTTCACTGCAACTCTTCCTATATCTAGTTGCTGTCCTTCAACCCCCCCCCCCTTTTATACAAAATGGAAAAAAATAATTCTTAAAGATTTACCCCCCCCAAAAAAAAAAAAAAAAAAACATTTCTTCTCTTTAAAAATATTCTGGTTGAAATTAAAATCAATAGTCTATAAAACACACTGAGTTAAAAGCTACTTTCCCATGTATATAAAAATGCATGGAGAAAATATATTTAAGAGAGTAAGTAGGATATAAAATACAACATAGCAGGTCATGTACTATCTTGGCATTATGGCCTCAATCTTGGAAACCATCAAGGAATGCTGTCAAGTCAGCAAGGGAACTAGAACCCAGTCTCAGTACGTCACAAGATGGACAGCCCACTGTGTCCACCTGGATCATTGTGTACATTCCCTTTTTACTACTGTCACTCAATATGGAATGAAAAGCTGATTTGTTATATGTATCATCAATTGAAGTTGCATGACAGTAAAATCATGGGCTGGATCTGGACGTATGCATAAGCCATGGGATTTGTGGAAGGTGACTTCCTTGCTTTCTTCGGCAGCCTCCTTTGGAAAGTCCCTGGAAAGGGTTTCCTGCTATTCGGGAATGGGATGGGCTGTGGCATGGGAGGCGAGATGTCTTCAAACCAGGCACAGCTTCACTCTGAATCCAATCCAACATATCTGAAGCAACAGCACCCTTTTAAAGGGATTCTTATGTGTGGTAGGAGGTATAGTGAAAGACATTTTCCCTCCTCCTGTGTGAAAGCTGATGAAATGGCTTTTTAAAGACAACGCTTTCTACCTGCAGCTTTCATAAGCATTTCCATGAATTTTTTCAAACCCTTTGCCTAAAAAATGGTACTGCAATTAATTAGGAACAGACTGTCTTAGCAGATGTTTCTGATTCATCGGTTAAATGTTGCTGCCTAGTATTTTATCCCTATTATTTTATCCACTACATTTCTGCAGTGTGATAGGATCTAAAATTATGAGTATTTATTTGCCGTAAACAGAGCTGATTTCCTTTTATCTTATAAAAATAAGAAATCTATTTCGCATGCAGTGGTAGGCAGCGCGGGAATGATAAAAGTAATAGAAAACAGCAGGTGGAGAAAAGGTTAAGAATCCCTTTTCCACATGTCCTGCTTTTCCATATAAATCTGCCCCTTTCAAAAGGTGCATATATTTAGACAAACTGCAGGGGGGGGGGTGCTTTACATGCATTTCCTCCTCAATCCTTTCTTAGTCCTATCTTGGCTATAAAGCTATTGAGACCACCAGTCATTTAAATATAGATGGAGGAAGTTATCTGCTCAAGGGATAAAAAGGAATAGCACTGACTTTGCAACTTGTGACCCACTGGCTAAACTCTCTGTCCTTCCTTTCTAGCAGAGCCAATAAACCCGCTTTTGCTGTCATTCTGGGAATGGTAGAAGAAGATCGAGGGAAGGAGGAGGAAGAGCATCAAACAGCTGCCAAGATCCAATACAAGGTTGATGAATCTGACTTGGTGAGTCACATTTTGCGCAGGACTGGAATACAGAGAGATGAATCATTCTTTTATATTTTTTATTTATTTTATATTGTTAATTTTAATTTTATATTGTTATTTTTGTATTTTATTGTGTTGTAAGCCACCCCGAGGCTTCAGCAAGGGGCGGTATAGAACTGTTTTAATAAATAAACAAACAAACAAACAAACAAACAAACAAACATACTGTTATATCTGGTTAGAAGTCAGTGGACAAAAACGGCAGCAAACTCCTCAGGGAGCTTTTTAAAAATGTAGTATTATCCACAATATTTGACAACTACAATAATAGACTATCAACCAGAACAAAATACCAGGATTATTTTATGTCTTAAGCTCAACTACACTCCACAGCTAGAAAAGGGAGATTATTGTAGCAGTTTAGGTTCTGAAGAATACAAAGAGGACTTCTGTGTTTTTGATAAGAAAAAACCCAGCAACTCTGCAAACGCTGGGACAAATTTATCCGCTGAAGATCAACAGCTTCACCTAGTGGATGATGACAGATAAGAAGGCAGGGGATGCAGAAAGTCAGCTGGGTAAGCAGGTGACACTCTTCACAGAGCAAGAGAAATAAAGATTATTCATTATTAGGAAAGCTTACATGTTCAACAACTGCACAGACCTAATGTTTTATATAATTTCTGAGAAAGCCTTTCCTATACCTGTTTCAGATCATTCATGCTTGCAGTAATTCCTCTCAGTATCATCATGATTGTTAGTCATCTGCTCTCCACTTTTAATGTACGCAGTCCTTCATAATGCTTTATGCCATCGTTGTTTTTATCTAGCTGGAACACATGTGCTGAAGGCCATTTAGTGTTCTGCTTTTCTATGGCTGTAAGATTTTATTAGTGAGAAGGTGCTTTTAGCTGTGGTTTTCATTGTACTGCCTCACTCACAGAATTTTATAGGGAAATCAATTTGTAACTTGCCTATGTTTTCCAGTTGTTTATTTGTTTGTTTTGCCAGAGAAAAAAAATTAAATGAGAAAAGACAGAATAGGGTGCTGTGCCTTTTAAGTGTAATCGCTGGGAACCTTCTGCCTCAAAGAATCCACAATCAATAGGTTACTCCAATTTGGGTCCACTAATAAATAACATTATAGCTATCTCTGGGGGGGGCAGGGAGGTGAAGACACACCTCTTCCTCCTATCCATATAATGGGAAGATTTCCAATAGAGGAGGTGGCATCAGTCTTTGGCCTTTGTACAAGAAAGTTCCTGCTGTTTTTCAGTAGGATTTAATTCCAAGTTAACAGGGTTCAGATTAGTGTTTAGCAGCCTAACTCTATGTAAGTTTACCCTGATGTAAATTTTATTGCATACATATGGGACAGTTCCTCCCACTTAAAGCATGTAAGAACATAAAATGAGACGTGTTGGAGCAGACACAGGGTCTGGATTACTAGTCCAGCACTTGGTTCACACAGTGGCCGGCCAGCTATCCATGAGAAACTTGCAAGGAGGACATGAGTGTAGCAGCATCCTGCTGCCCCGGTTCCTCGGCATCTGGTCTACACAGGCATACCGTCTCTGACACCAGAGGTGGCATACTGCTTTCAGGACTATTGGCTACTGAGAATCTCCTCCTCCATTAATTTCTCTAGCCCTCTTTTAAAGACATCCAAATTGGTGGCCATCAGTACATCTTGCAGGAATGATTTTCACAGTTCACTGTGTGAAGATGTATGTTTTTTTTAGCAACTCTTAACTGCCCACCAATCATCTTTATGGGATGACTCCAAGTTCCAGCATTATGAAAGAGGAAGAAAAATATCTCCCTAACTGCTTTCTCCACAGCATGCATAATTCTGTACCCTTTTATCATGCCTCCCATCACTTGGCTTTTTTCTAATCTAAACAATCCCAAATGTGACAAGCTTTTTCATAGGGGAACTGCTCCAGCCGCCTTATCATTTAAATTGCCCTTTTCTGCACTTTTTGCAACTCTACAATATTCTTTTTTCAGTGTTGTGGCCAGAAGGGTACACAGTATTCCAAGTGTGGCCACATCAAAGGTTTCTATAAGGGAGTATGATAATGGTAGTCTTATTTTCAATCCCTTTCCTAATTATGCCTAGCGTGAAGTCTGCCTTTTTCACAGGAGTCACACTTTTCATTGAACTGTCCACTACAACTTCATGATCTCTTTCTTGGTCAGCCATCACTAGCTTAGATCCTATCAGCTTTATGCTTGAAATGGGATTTTTTTCATTGATATTCATCCCTTTACACATGCTTATACTGAACCACATTTCTCATTTTGGCGCCCATTGTTGCTGCCCATTCACAGAATTGCAACCTGCAGCAGCAAAGACATAGAGAAAACAGGTGGTACAATCCTGAACTAGCAGCCTTGTTGCCTTTAAAAAACATACACTTTTTAACGAGTTTATTGTGTGGTTTCATTATTGGCTTTATTTGTGCTTTTATTATGTGCATTGACAGAAAACTCTGGCTACAGGTTGACCCTGAAATGAAATGAAATGAAATGAAATGAAATGAAATGAAATGTAGATCCAGCTCTGGTCAGAAGGAAAGAAAGCTTCTCCAAAGTGGTGCTCCATGAAGAGAAGGAAGCCACTGAATCTGAGCCACCAACTGTCCGAGGCCACCCAAGGACAAACTAGACATAATGGAGCCATTAGTCACATATCCACCCTGTTTACCTCTCCAGTAATGGGCCAACAGGTCCAAGGAGCATCTGGCAAAGGTCCTGAATCTCATGTCCCCAAGCAACTGGTGGCTCAGACTTCCAGGCTCCAATACTGGAAATGAGCCAGGCACAAAGTAAACCAGCTGGAGCAAGAGTGGGAGGCAAGGTCAAGCTATTGAAGAGAAAATGATTCAGTGACGATCTCCCATGTTTCTTTTGCCATTCCACCCCAATTCACCATGAATGGGACAGACAGACATAACAACATGAAATACGCATACCATCATCATAGCTAGTTTGTCCCTCAACACATCCTATAACCGAAGAATATTAGAAAGTAAGAAGTCCAGGGTTAGCTTTCATTCTACCATGGCATAAACTAGTGGTTTACATAAAACCTAAGCATTCTGTATTTTTGTTTATGCACTAGTAGTGATAGCATCTTCAACCAACAAGGCAAGTGTCAGGAAGGGAAAAATGTGGTACAATTGCTTCTGAACTCTCACTCTAAAGATGTAGCCTGATTATAAGGAGAAAAAGAAATACGTAAAACACGGCCTTACCAGTGATTGGGGTCATCATATAGACAGTCGCACTCTGTTGGTTCGAGTTTGCTGAGGAGATGTTAACAGTGTAATTGGTGCCTGGATGTAAGTAAAAGCACACTTCCGGAGTCCAAGAGTCTGTGGTGAAATTGAGAGCCATTGTATGACAGAATTTCTTCTGATACCAGCGTAGCCCCTGGATGTGAAACTGTAACAAAGCATGCGCAAGGCTTTGAATTAAACACCTTTGACATTTAACACATTTACACAACATTACTCACCATGAGTAATGGTTGACTGTCCTGTCATCTGAAACCAAACTGCTTTCCTCAGTGTGGTTCGTTTGCTTGTTGCTTCCCTCCCTCCTTTTTTTAAATAATAGGCCACCCTGAGAACCCTTGGTCTGTAGTAAGGTTTGTTTCATGTGTGGAGGCCTGGCATGTTGATCAAACCAGGATGACTGTCCTAACTGTGGGTGTGGCAGCTGCCACTGGCTCACTCCTCCCAGCCTTGAGCAAGAGCTGTTTTGGTTCACTATGGCTTCTTCTCTCCACTTTCTTCCCCCCCCCCCCCCACCCAAGAGATCACTTTTTGTTATCTCTGTTTCCAAAGCCACTCACAGCCTCTCTGGAGTGGTCCCCTTAGTTCCCTTACTCCCAACAGGCACAAATGCAGACATGCTTGCAAATGTTGCTATGAAGAAACCATGGGAAGCCATACAAAACAAATGAAAACAGCCTTCTAGCTTCTTTTAAAAAGGACTGGGGCTGCACTTTTCCAGCTTCTGGTTTTGGGAATGGGTGGAATCATTGGGAGTGGTGGGGCCCATTAGGAGAACATAAAATTCCTTGAGGATTCCAACACCAAGAGGGGACAAACCCTTCCACCCACTTTTTGCAAGCAAAGCTCATCTGCATTTTTGCTTTGAAGTGACAGCTCACCTTGTAAATGCTGTATTGACCAAACATAGTGCAAACCCCTCCATATCTGGAGTCTCTATGGGCCCACATCCATGGTTGGCACCAACCAACCACATTTTTACAGTGAAAATGTCAGTAACATACCGCCTTTATGCAAATATATGATGTGAACACATTCAGAAAACTGTGTGCAGTTCTGGTTACCACACCCAGCACTGGAAAAGGTGCAGAAAAGGACAAGTACGATGGTTCAAAGGGTTGGAGAAACTGCCCTGTGTTTACAACAGCTGAGACTGTTCAGCTTCGAAAAAGCCAAGAAGGGTAGACATAATATAGGTGGAGAGAATCAGGCATGGTCTGGAGAGGGAGACATAAGAACCTGAAGTCTTTCCATGAACCTAACTGGTCGGAGATTCAGGAGAGATAAAATGAAGTCTTTCCACCACCCACCACCCACCCCGTGTAGTTAAACTATGGGATTCATTTCCACAAGATGTAGTGAATGGCTTTAAAAGGGAACTGAAAAAAATCACAGAGTACTAGCCCTGAGGGCCATAGGCTACGTCTGGTTCCACAGGCAGTATTCCTACGTACACCAGTGTTGCCATTATATCCAAGTGGCGGAATCCTGAGAGAGCGAACAAAGGCAGCAGAAGCAAGGCAGAAAAAGCAAACCGAATGTCTCTGCCCTCTTTCGGCCACGGCTCTGCTCACTACAGGCAAGCTTCCCTGAACAAATTACTGCTGCGAGAATGGAGTCCTTGACCAAAGGACATTCCTCTGGAACAGAGAGAGATGGGGTGGTGGTGGGGAACACCAGTGTACACCAGTGGCTGGAGAACACGAGTGGCAGTGGGGAGGTGTTGCACACATCCTACTGTGGGTTTCCACAGGCAGCAGCTTGGCCAGTAACAGAGCAGAACGCTGTATTAAACAGACCCTTGTTCTGATTCAGCAACATGTGTCTTTTGTCCCTATGAGGTTTGCTGCTTCAGAATGCAGCCCCACTGTAAAATGTTCCCTGGAAAGAAAAAGTCCATACGGCACAGGGAACAGTTTTGTCCAAGTCTGCTCCCTGAGGGACTAGCCTCACCCTTGCCAACAGCATCTTTTAGGTAGGGAACAGTTCAAAAGTGTGACTCCCCACCTGAAATGCTACAGAAATCCACTGGGGCCCCTCCTTCTGTGGCTTGTGCAGACCAGCCCCCAGGGACCACCTTCTGCCCATTCAGAGCAGCAATCCGCCCAGCCTAGCTAAACCTCCAGGACCCTGAGTGCCAAGGGAAGGGGGCAACTAATATCCCTGAAGACAGATCTAGTGTTCTGGTTCTCCGTCCTCGGGATCAATCCAACTTCACAATGCTGAGTGCCAATAGGAGAGCGGCGTGGCAAACAAATAAATGAACAAACTCATGTTATGGGTATGCCAGCAGCCGGAATGCCCTATCAGTGAGTGGCTTGTCAGTTTAAGGCATATCAATCTCCCCCCTCACCTCAAACTCTTTTGCATCAGGAGCTGCTGCCTGAGTCAAGTCTACTCTCCTCTCCTGAAAGGAATACAGCAGGGGTGGGTGACTTCATGGTGCCCGAGGACTATTTCCAGCCCCGAGACATTCCTACTCCACGGGCTGCCACCAAGCTTTTTCAGCAGCTAAAATTCAGCACCAAACCCCTACAGCACTCCAAAGGGGTCAGGTTTAGCACGAGAACAAATTCTGAATTCTTTATTGCATTGTGGTACTAAAATTGACAATCCCCACCCCAACTCTGCAAGTGCAAAATTCAGCACTGCAAAGATAGGCTGCGTGTTACCCATCCCTGCCACACAGCTCCAGTTCTGTATATCTCTCATCTGCACAATCTTCCTCCATCGTTACTTGTCACAATCTGTGAAGTGTAAACACAATGTCCTCACCAAAGAATACAAGCTTCCTTTACAAATGTTCATGCTACCTGATAAAACTGTTTATTAATGCTACAGCCAGCACATTTCTCAACGAGCTGGCTCAGTTTCCTTCGTAAGCTTAGTAATTGCTGACAGCATAGATCAGGGGTCCCCAAACTTTTTGACCAGGGGGCCAGATGAAAGGTGCCGGTGCTGGGCACGGGCTGGAAAGGTGGTGCCTGGCTGTACGTGTGGGCCGGCGAGGGGGTGGGGGCAGGGGTGGCACATGTGGGACGCACATGCCGAGGTGGGGGCGGGGGGCGTGGTGAGGCATGGGCAGGTGCATGCGGCAAGGGGAGGCGAGGCGAGGTAGGGCGGGCGCGTGCCGTGAAGCAGGCGCATGAGGCAGCGGCTTGCTTGCTGTGAGATCGTTTTCCCCGAGCAAGCAAACCGCTACCTCCCCATGCGCGGGGCATGGTCGTCAGCGGCGGGTGTGCGGTGGGTCCAAATGGACATGTTGGGTCGGATAAATGGGCATGGCGGGCCGGATCCAGCCCCTGGGCCGTAGTTTGAGCACTCATGCCCTGGATGAAAGTGATATGACAGAGTTACTGCTGCCCTTCTTATATAAACAAGCCTATTGTGTTCCCTGTTGTCTCTTGAACAAGCAGGTTCTTAGAAATCTACCATAATCTGGAAAGCCCGCATACCAGAAGAAGTAAGAGGATGAATGGACACATCTCAAGCAGTAAATGCCCTACAAGGCAGTGTCTCTGGGCCTCACGCTCACTACTTCCCCATTACTCTCAGAAGCTGTGCCTCACTTACCACATAGGTTTCCTCCAATTGTGTTCTTTCTGATTCTCTCTGCCATCTAATACAGGTGTCATTAAATATGGAGATATTGCTGAACACAACTTTCTTTTCTGGAAAATAAGGGGGTACTGTGGGAAGAGAAATTGAGGGCTAAATACTTCTGAATTCTTAAATCAACTCTGTATTACAGTGCAAATTTGTTACTAAAACCAGAACATACACGAAAAAATATAAAGCAGAAGCTTGCAGTTCAAGAATTGGCTTGTTAGGTAAAATCAGTATGTGAAATTTATTTCCTGCTTATTGTTACAGCTTTTTACAGGTTAACAGGTAACAACATGGTAGTTGCCACTTGACCAGCTTTTGAAGAACTCTGGTTTCCCTCATCATCTCCCAGCATATAGCCCTACCTGACCTTAAGTATTGTGGGATCTATTCAGTGGCCCTTCTTGCATTACTTATTTATGTATTTCATTTCTATACTGCCCCATAGCCAAAGCTCCCATTAGCATTTTCTTGTCTTACCTTCCTATTTCCTCAACCAATAGCCTATTTTGTAGACTTCATTAAACTCTGCATTAAACTCTGTTTTTGTTCTCCCGAGGATTTCTCGCCTAAAATTTTTGTCATCCTTCAGCAATCCACTTAATCATAGCCAAATGGTCAATTTCCCTCCCCTCACAAAAGCTGGACTGCAAAGTTTCCCCAGAAATTCATTCTTTTGAGCTATCACATCAATTCAAGCAGCATCTTTGTCATCACATTATAAAATAAAATATGGTTTGCACATTATGTTATTTTTAATACACTGAAACCTTTTCATTTTTATTTAGTTAAACGAGTTAACACTGCAATGTGCATGCTTTCTAAATGGAGAGTGTGCAGTTTGGTTTTATTTTAGGAAAGCCAGTAATATCCTAAGGCAATGACCTCTGTCACATCCTTCATTACAACTGGCAAGTCATTCATGGTGTGTGTTTTTGTATGATATCTAAAATTATTACCACGGGGTGTGTGTTTTTGTATGGTATCTAAAATTATTACCATGGGAAATATTTATACACTACAAATTTAGACTTATTTATGTGACTCCCCAGAGAACTTGAGGAAATGTAATCCCATATCTAGGAGCAAAAGAGTCCTAAGATCATTTGAATCACCATTCCTGATCATTAATACCAAAATTTTGTACAAGTGTAGAACCTACCAACTACTGGGTTTGTTATTCTGACTCGTAAAAGCATATTTATGGATTCTGCAATGATTTCCACAGTATAATTTGCATCCTGACGTAGCGGCAAACACACATTTACAGCCTCCTCTGTTGTGGGAGGAGTAATCAATAAATCTGTAGTTTTTATTGATTCATTCCCTAGCATTCTTATCATAGTGAGCTGCAAAAGAAACAAAAAAGAAGCAGATTCTAAAAACATAGCTTCAGGACATATCTACAATATAAGTCAGTTTAATACTCAATTACAACTCTCCAGATTATTCTGGAGACTACCATTTTGCAAGGCAGGGGAAAGTTCGTAGAAGGTAATTCTCAGCACCCTTACAAGGAGAGACATCATGGCACTTAAACTAGTCCATAAACCTGTATAGATTTGCGTATCTAGAGTACAATAAGAGGCAAAACAGAAATAGCATATTTGCATTAAAGATGGGCTGACAAGCAAGTTTATACAGAAGCACCTCTGCCCTATCTATCTATCTATCTATCTATCTATCTATCATCTATCTAGCTATCTATCAGATTTATATCATGAAACAATTACATATCTATCAAGATGCAAGTGTCTCCAGAAAGTTTGAGCCCAGACCAGTTCTTTGTATATTGCATGACTTCTTACACTGTCCCATCTAGAAGCTATCTTAGTCATTCAAGTCATGTTGCTCTTTCAAAAAAAAAAAGAAAGAAAGAAAGAAAGACATTGGCAATTTTATTTTGCAAGATTTTCATGGAGATAGGCATGTTCTCTCACACATTCAGGAACTTGCCTGCCCCCACTAGAAAGCTAAGAAGAATGTTTCACGCACGTGATAGGTCTTATTTGCTCCAGTTCTTCCATAATATCTCCTCCATGTCAAACAAGAGTTATTCATTGAAGGTTCAACAAACTCTTTCACTTCTGCAAAAAATAAACAAACATGCACACATAGTTTCCCAGTTGGACTACCAAGTAAATGCTTCCTGTTTCTATTACAGGATCTGTTGTCGGTCAACTGCATACCCAAATCCAGGGATACCATCATGCGCTCTTAATCATTATTTTGGGAGAAAGGAAGGGTCCCATAGTTCTCTCTCGGTCACCTGATTCTCGCAACACAGGCACATGCCTGCCACCTGGAAACAGCAGGGGTGAAGCGCAGCTCGAATTCACAAGGCAGACATGGATTCAAGTGAAGCAGTCAATAAATTTTGCTTGGATCCAGGAGGCCCAAATTTAATACAAGTGGCAGCAGAGAAGTGATAGTAGGAACCATGACGGGATATAGCTGTATGTTATATACTAGCCTTCCCCAACCT